TTGTTATTTTTATATACTAATTAGTATAATATAAGATAAATATTGATAGCGTCACTATTTTACATAGTTCCTTCTAAATGATACTTATGCAAAGAGCCCTTCGGAATTTTATCTATTTTTTACTTTGTTGATTCTATTTTAAATATCGACCATAAAAGAGTACGATGGCTCAATTTCACAGCTTGCTTTTAATTCCCAGTAGCTTCTCTCAGAAACTTGGTTGTCAACTTCATTGTAACGTGAATGTGGCAATTCGATGTGCACTCATTTGGGCAAGTTCGAGGTGAACGTTGATAAGAGATAAACTGATAAAGGTAATAATTGTTACGCAAATACAGATGCCAAGTGCAACAACAGGTCATGGTTTCTAATTTATGCACCATCAGAATGTCTTGATGGTCCTAGCAAATGTGTTCTTATTTAGTACCTAATCTCGATGAGGGATTATGGGCTGGGCACCCTCGAAATATTGCATTGTCAAGTAGAATTTATGAGATGGACCACTTGAGATTAGCGATGGTATATAAAGACACCTCAATTAAGTGGTACCACTTTCTAATTGCATCGCCACGAAATGTATCTCAAATTGGTACACATTTTGACGATCATTGGGTGTTGTGCGCTAACATCAGCAAGTAAGATTTGTAGGGTATTGGTATTCCGTAATACTTATAACGATTTTTTAAGACAATTGGCAGTACAACCTTTACAAAGGCCTGGAAGAATATGTACGCACGGGAAACGAGTCGGCCCAATTGCGCAGTGCCGTATCGGGAATCAAATTTCCACGATTATTCCGCACCAGCTACACCAGAAAGGAAAAGGATTTGATGAGCGATATTGTTTGTGGAGCGTGCAATATAGGTGTGGATGTTGTCATAACAGCTCGAAAGGAGGGTACTCCAATTGAAACGATTGGGGACGTTATTGAGTTTTTCTGCAAGAACGTTTTCATGGAGCCACCTCATGTGTGCAGTGGATTTCTAGATTTGAACTTGCGTACATTCGGATACATGCTCGACAATACGAAGAACATAACCTCCAAAAGAGTGTGTTCCATTATTCTGCAAGATTTTAATTGTATAGACCCAGATCGAGTAGATTGGACCGTTAATATTCCCCCTCGACTAGCGAACAGCACTCATGTACTTCAAAAGGGTAATTCAGATTCATACAAATTACTACACCTGACCGACCTGCACTACGATCCAAACTATGAGGTTGGATCAGGAGCAAATTGTATTGAGCCACTTTGCTGTCAGTCGGGTAGCATAGCTCTTCGATCAGAGGATCAGGCGGGCTATTGGGGAGACTATCGTGGCTGTGATTTACCATGGCATTCGTTGGTAGATGCCTTAGACCACGTGACATCAGAACATGTAAGCATGACGGAACCACTTTAAATAGACAGTATTAATGAATTTATCCGTAGCAAGACCTAGATCTGGTTTATTTTACGGGCGACATAATCGACCACAAGATATGGAAAGTCAGCGTTGAACACAACAAGGAGACCATTCGAACCGTTTACAAAAAGTTAAACGAAACCTTTGGAAACGTAAAGGTTTATCCTGTTTTGGGAAACCACGAACCGCACCCTGTCAATATGTACGCTATCAACACTACCGTCCCATTATCCGGCTAATTGTAATGGTTTCAGGTTTTCCTCGCACGTTGTTGAACATAACCATTGGTTAAGCACCCAGTGGGTGTTTGAGGTATCCGCAGAGGAATGGCTAAGATGGCTACCAAAGGAAACGGAGGAAACCATTTTAAGAGGAGGATACTACACCGTTCTTCACAAACCGGGCTTTAGAGTGATCGCATTAAATAGTAACGTTTGCTATACCCACAACTTCTGGCTGTTTCACGAAGACAAGGATCCTTTCGGTCAACTGCAATGGTTAGTCGACACGTTAGCAGAGGCGGAAAAAAATGGCGAACTAGTCCACATACTTTCGCATGTTTCATCTGGCGACGGGTCGTCAATGCATAACTGGGGTAACGAGTTTGCTAAAATCATGTACAGGTTCTCCCATATTATTTCTGCCGAATTCAACGGTCATTCACACGATGATGACATCGTGATACTTTACACGCAAGAAGAGACACCGGAGCCAATAAACGTCGCGTTTAACGGGGGAAGTCTCACACCCTGGTCCAATTTAAATCCAAATTACAAGGTGTACGAAGTGGATTCAAACACACATGTAAACATTATCCTCCTTTTTTTGCGCAGAATTGCTCACATAATCTTCTTGCAGCACGTCGTCGACTATGAGTCGTGGTCTTACAACTTAACCGAAGCCAACATGGACCCCCAAACTCGTCCTCAGTGGAAAAAGCTGTACAGTTTTAAGGAATCGTATGGCGTTACCGATATATCACCAAAAGAGGTGGCCAACTTAGTAGAGAGGATGACCAAAGACCCAGAGCTTACCCAATCCTACTTCAGGTTAATTCAGACAGTCTAAAATGTAATACCAATTTTAATGATTTTCCTTTAGATTTAAGACACGCGATGCCGATCCTTTCAGGGCGATAGGATGTGATAGCGAATGTGAACTGAAGAATATTTGCTACATGGTCACATTTACCAACAGCAATAGGAAGCAATGCGAAATGTTTACGGAAATGTACAATGCTAATCGGAACCAGACGTTATCTCTATTTTTTTAAGCAGTTTTTATATTCTATAGTCACGTAATACTCATTAAAATACATCTGTTGTACAGATAAAGAATTAAAATAATTTCCCTATTTCCATCCGCCAAAGAATCTCTTATAGTCCGAGGCATCATAGTCCTTGAAGTATTCAGTAGTGGACAAATTGCGAATATATTCGTTCAAAATCAGTATTATTAGAAACTTCGTCCTACCGTCGTCTCCGTCATTGTAAGGCAATAAGGTTTGTCGAAAATGCTGAAGCCCATTCGTTATATCAACTGATTTCGTACAGACGATACCATAGGGGGTGTCTTTAGAAACATGCAACATTCATCCAAAATATTAACAAAATTGGAATTTCTGTAAAAGCTGTTCCAGTTTTAATTGGTCATGGAGCTCTCTTTGCGGAATAAAGATATTTTTCCAAAAAAAAAACCAATCATGCATTTTCAGCAGGCGGTTCAGGTACTGAATTAAACGACATCAAGGGCATTACGACGAACGTATAAGTTCTATCACTGGGTTACAATAATTTGTTGCAAAGGGTGTCCATAGTACCGTTACATGAATATTCAAGAAGGCAATCTAGACCTATAATACAATAACAGTTAAATTATTCAAAAGATTTAGAGAGATACTTGAAATACTTATCCTAAGTGAGGGTCGGATAAAAGCTTTTAGAAGGCCCCGCAATACGAGTTGTTTAAGATGCAGACCAAAGTGCCCCCCCCCCCATCCACAAAATCACCACATTGTTTGGCATATGTCGCGGCCCAACGCGATGGCAAAAAAAGTAATGGTGAAACGCCCCTGATAGTGCCTACTAGATGTTAGACGCATTCCATACTGTAACAAGTCGACGGAATCAAGAGTATTATTATTATTATTGTCGGTGTATCTTGTGAGAACTCAGGTCTAGCCTGGTTAACTAATCGCACGGATTAAAATCAAGTAACGATTGGTGTCTGTGTCTGTGTCTGGGGAAGTTATGTAGGGTCCTAAAAAAAAAAAATAAATAAATAAAATAAAAATTCACACACTCACATTGGAAATCTAGAGATAGTATGTCATTCATACTTACCAACATAGCTATTGATAGGCACAATAGCCAACCCTATCAGGAAAGAGGAAAACAAAACAAAACAAAAAAAAATCATTATAATAATTCCTGCAATTTTATTACATGGAGTTTATTGTGTAAGTGTTTCTTTGGCTTTGCGTTTGGGTTGAATACGAGTGGGTTGTGATAACGTGGTGTGTTTCTGTGAAGAAGGAGTTTTGTGTTTTTTAACTGTGCTAGGACATGTAATTTTATTGGGTGGACCTATCTTTGTGGTGCATGTTGCCTTACTTGTATTTATGGTGTTTCTTTGTTCTTGAGGTTGTATTTGTAAGGTTGCTTGGGTTTTTGGTGGAGATATTACAGTATTTTGTGAGCTAGTAGTGCTGCTTAGATTTTTGCGCTTCGGTTGAATTGTGTGTGTTGAATTATTATTATTACTATTATTATTACTTCGGCTTACATGGCCTGTTAATCAGATTTCATTTCCGCTTTACCAGCTTCCAAGTTAGCTTCCGTGACTTGTTGACCGGCTTTTATTTCTTGCGTCAATTGCAGAAGCAGACGTAGATCTGGTCACAACTGACATAGACTTTCACCAATTGGTAACTTAAAAAATAGTAACCCCACACCTGACACCAGTGTAACGTACATTTAATTCCGTCGTTTATTTATTTACAATTAATTAACAATAAATTTACAACACTCTTAAAATGATTAATTTATAACAGTAATTAAAATGTATTACTCACAATTTATAACATAACAAGAACGCGTTGATGTTGGAACTGACTCGAAACACAATTCAGTTTGCTTATAATATATGCTATATTATAGCAAACAACATTCCTTCTAGAATGTTCTCGAACAAACACGTAAAAAGTATGCACCCTGGCTAACAATGCGGGTAATATGATTGCCACCAGGAATAAAGCGCTAATTAGATCTAGAAAAAGTAAATCCCCTTCGTACTGGTCGTTCTATAAACAATTACGGAACAGTGTCATTTATGCAGTAAAAAGGAGAAAAAAAGCTTATTTTTTTCTAATAGCGAAAATAGTCAGAAATCCTTTTGGAAACTCGTTGGTAATCTGAAGAAAACCAATATTGAACTGCCAAACCATTTTAACTCACCGAAGTATATATGATCAACTTCTTTTATCACCCTTTCTATTTAATTTATATACACCCCAAATAAAAAACCGCTTCATTTCTTGCAATCATCATTTCTATGCGTATGACACAAATTTACTTGACATTCAGCGGAAGTGAAGCAAGCTGATTCAGATATTAATATTATGACCTTTGACGACTACTGTAATCTTCGTAAAGCATGAACTTGAATATTAACCCAACTGAATCTTCCGGTATGATTTATCAATGTCTATTTGTGCAACAATAAAGATTATGCATGTATACAACTCATTAGCGTATTTTCGACAAAGTGAAAAATCGCTGTACTTTGTCGTCCGCCTGTCCGTCCGTCACACGTACTTTCTACACGACTGAATCGATTTGGGCGATATGGGGCTTATTTGAAAGGGTATAACGGACGGTTACAAATTATCGATGATTCGCCTATATCCTCCTTATCCTTCGTTTCTCGATGTCGATGTCAGTGTGAAGTACTTGGGAGCTTAATTTATACCTTTATACTTCCAGCTAGCTCAGGTAAATAAATGGGTAAGTAATAAAGAATAATTAATTCAATTTTGATCTTCTCAGGTGCTTGGTTAATTTCAAGAAATTACAACCGAAATTGATACTCTAATTCTAATATGCCTGGAGGAATTACGCAATTTTCATAATTCGGGGTGCGTTTGAATTTTAGAATCTCTTTGTTACTGTGTGTAAAGATTAGTGTTTGCAATATTTACGATTGGAAAAAGACTACATTAATTTGAATACATTTATTTTAACTAAACAAACAGGTAAAGCAAATAATTACAACTATTACGTTGAACCTAAAAAAAACCTACCTAAACAATTCTAATTTTGGAAATAATTTTTTAGCACTTCAGTCCCCGGGATAAATTCGAGCGTCTTAAATAAATTGTCATTAATTCTCACACAAAATGACCACGAGTTTTAAAATGCGTACGCCGTTGGATTTAATTCGTATAAAGGAATATTGTCGTTTACCTTATGAATGAAGTCTCTTGATTACGCGGGAGTTTGTGTAACTTGGTTCGGTCGATGTTGAACCTTGGAATTTTTCTCCTGGTTGTTTGGAAATCTACCACCCTCCTATGCAGTCAGTTTCCTTGGATAAATGGACTACAGTAACTTGATTTGTATTTAAATCGTCCCTGCTCCTTGGTGGAATTTTGAAAACAACGCTAGCAATTAAACAATTTGCGTGCTTTAGTAAGTGTAGCAAGTAAAAGATCAGGTTGCAGGAAAGGTCGTAAACAGATTGCCAGTAAAACATCTTTGGCATGCAAATAATGCAAAATGCGAATAACTTTTGGTTAATAATCTTTCCGACAACATTGACTGTAAAAGTCGTAAGATTAGATAGCAAATTTCGTAAATTTTTCGAATTTTCAAATACTTATCCTGGATTTGTTATTTTCACATTAAAGAACCCTCGCATAAACCAAAATTCCGTTGAGATTAGAATATTTATTTGAGCCCCCATTGAGAGGTGCACATCTTAGAGTAAGAACTTTTGTCATAATCGGAAAGGGCGAAGCATCAAAAACCTAGGGAAGGAGTTAGAGAATGTTGGAGGCGTAGGTCGTAAATGAAAAATTGGGGGAGAGGGGGGGGGGCGATGTAGGTATCAAATCTCCGCAAATTAACACGGTCCGTGTTCTCTAATCTGATTAAAAACTGAAATCTTCTCATTTCTGAGTGAAATTGACGTTATTCTCATCACGCAAGTTTTAATTTCACAACCATACTTATTCGGGTTTAATTCTGATTCTGGTATTAAGAAACGTGGTTATAGTTAATGCCTTTGAAATTATCCAACAAGTCTCTTTTGGAACCAATATCCACAAATTTGTTGTATTCATAATTCAGGTAATTGTTGGTATCGCATGATTATGTGCTAATTTTCAAGGGAGCTCTTTAGTCACTATCACCTGTCAACACCAAAAAAAAGGCAACAACATATTTCCTGAAATGACAAAAACGCCCACTGTCCTTTTAAAATATCTTTAATCGTTTGGATGTTTTGGAACGGCTCGGTTGATCAATGTCAATTTTTCGGATTGGTTGAATGTCAGCGTCCTCTTCGATACTGTTCTCTTCGGCACCCTCTTCAGTGTCCTCCTCTTCCTCTTCATCTTCGGTTTCCTCTTCCTCTTCATCTTCGGTTTCCTCGTCAATCGTAACTTCGGTGATATATTTTCACTCCCCGTTGCAGTACATGCAAATGATGGAGCATTTTAAACCCGCCTTTCTACAGTCATATGGTGGACCACATCCTTTTTTTTGCACCCGCAGAAAACGAATTTGGGGGGGTGCTTCCGGAGCAGGATCTGTATTGTTGGCACTAGAGTCTTACTCCTCCCAGCGGTAATGCAAATGACAAAAAAGCAAAATTGGGGTGGTAACAGCATTTACATTAGGCGTCCAACTGCTGTTGGATATAACCATAAGTTTATCAATGAAGACAACATAAGTAGTGAAGAGGGGGAAGTAACCATATCCGGAGTTATTTCAGTGACGTCCATTACAAAAGATGTAAAACAACAAGAATTGTTTTGGTTTAGGTTAGAGCCGTCAATTTTAGCGCAAAATTAATTATTCACGACACGCGGAATGTTTTTTACCATTTGGAGATCGGCGATTTTCAAGCACTCAGTGTGTTCTCTGATTGTCGTTTATGAACGGTATTTTATTTTAGGCTTTTACGTCCAGTTTTCAAAAACTGTGACTTATAAATGAAGTGGTATGGCATTTCCAATACCGGCAGTAGTTGCCACAGATTTAGATGTACTGAAGCTAGTAACACAATAAAACACGCATAATGTCATACAGTAAGTCGGGCTTGGTTGCTTGTTGTCCTCCACTTAGTAAATATTATGACTATAATATCTAAAGTAATTTACAGTAGGGCTTTTTTGTATCTTCTCACACGCTGGGTGGATATTTTAAGGTGTAACACGTGGGTATCGTAATTCAAAGACTGTTGAGGTGAATAACTACTTTATTTACAAGCGGTCTCCATGACACGCTATTGCCAACTTAAGAAATAGCACTAGCGCATACACCACAGGCTTGGAGATATGAATGCTAAAACATGCCGATGAATTATGCTGTGCCTTAATCCGGCTTGTAAGTTCGTCTTAGTGATTACGTTAGTCGTAATCTTGAATAATTCAGTGGCTGTAATTGAAAATGGAAAAAAAATTATTAAATGGTCACTCTACTCCTGTCCTATAAATGTAAGGGGATAGTCTCTCATAGAAATGATGAGTTAGGTTGTCACGTTAGTCTACTTGTAGTATAATACCAAGTAGCGTTGTGGATTTTTTCTGTGGTCTCCCAACTTTTTGAGAAACCAGCTTGCTCTGTACTTAACTCCCTCAGGAATGGTAAATACACGAAATCTCCCCACGCATCCAACGTTAATCCATCAGTTAAAGTTGACAGGTAGTGATTTTCATTCATTTCTTTAATAGCCCATCGAGCTCGATTTGAGAAGTTCTCATTACTACCTGTCAACTTTAACTGTCATTAAATTTTCGATGCGTGGGGAGATTTCGTGTATTTACCATTCCTGATCGAGCTACTCCATTGTGAGGTATACCAACCAATTTCATCATGTCTTAACTCCCTCATTGTATCCAGCTTAATCTTTGAAAATGTGATTAAGATTAAGAAATATTACCTCAACTGGATTATTTATTTGTTATCTGAGCTGGGTATTATCTATCATAAAATCTTTTACGTTTCGAAGGTTACGTTTGCTCAAAATGTTGACGTAACTTTGTAATTTAAACAAATTGCGCAAATTTAGGATTATCTATAGGGCATATAATAATATAATAAAAATAAGAAGAAAGCAGCTTACTGAAATACCATGATTAGCAAGCGATGTGTATGGAAAACGTGCAAGTATAATGCTTGTATCAAATTTCGTGTACAGAGATCTCGCTTATTAGCACAGGTAGAGAAATGTTTAAATGGACAAAAATGATCTTTAAGTCATGCCTCAATAAAATCAATAAACAAATTTTACACCTTCTCTAAGGTTTCCTAAATATAGCGATAAATAACATAATTGACGTTCTTGATTTTTCGGTTTAAAATCGTTATTCGGGGTGATATTTAAAAACTAAAAAGGCTTTCTTTAGGAAACCCTCTCTCTTCTTTTAGATGATGGAAATGAGGTCATCTCAAAGAGAAAATAATCCTGATTTCAAACATGTATAACGTAGCAGTTTTGGAACTATTACAGTATAAAATAGGGAAAACCGCACAGAAAAGTCCGAGAGGGCACGTGCTCAGACACAGAGGATTAGTACAGTTAGCAATAATACAAGGTAGGTCAGAGGGCAACAGAGGGGTAGGACGGCAGAGGCTTAGATACATTGACCAAATAGTTAGGGACGTAGGCAAGGGTAGTGATGTAGAAATGAAGAGATTGGCGCAGGATAGGAAAGGGCGGAGGACTGCGTCCAACGTTGTCCTAGGATTGTGGACTCCGACAAAAAGAAAAAATCATGTTTATAAAAAAATCAAAATAAGTTCAAAATTAAAGGAAAAACATTTTGAGGCGTTTAGGCACAATTCCAGGATCATTTTCGTCCATTTAACCGACTCTCTCTATAATAATAATAATATTTAATTGTGAGAAGGTGTGAATTACACTTAACACTCGTCAAAAGAAACGGGAAATTACAAACATTAAAAATAATAGTATATAACAAACAATATAACAAACAAACTAAAAACATACAGGTAAAAACAGTAAAATCGCAATAAAAACTAATTACATAATCTACCACTAGCCACAAACTCGTTAAAAGAATAAAATGCGCTACATAGAAGAAAATTTTTTATGCGTCTCTTAAATATTGGGTAGTCTAAAATCGTTATATCTAAAGGGAAGGCGGTTATATAAATGTTTGGATTGGTACTGTACTCCTTCTTGTGATTTTGACAGTCTGCATAGATCAGTACGGATATTGTTTTTTTTTCTTGTGTGATGAGTATGTACCTACGTCAACTTGTTGTGTGTAAAGGGATATATTTCGTTTAGCATAGCATAGGGCTTCAAGAATATAAATACAAGGAAGTGTTAAGATTCTGAGATCGATAAATGCTTGACGGCAATCGTCTCTATAACCTAAAGATGCCAGAACAGCTCTACGTTGTAGTTTGAACAAACATTGCCAATGAGAACTATGTCCCCAAGCGAGGATGGCATATGAGAGAGAACTATGCACAAAACCAAAATATGCTGCTTTAATGGTATTTAAAGTTGTGCAGTTGCGCAACCGACTAAGTATAAATATCGACGTGTTCAATTTTTTGGACAAATTATCGCAGTGATATTTAAAGTCTAATTTGCTGTCAATCACACAACCTAGAAATGTGAAATGAGCACCATTTAGAGACGATATTATCTTTTCTTAAAGATAAAGGCAAGATAGTAGTCTTAGCAGGATTTAGTTTTAAAGTATTATCAGTGCACCATCTAGAAATAAGTTTGATGCCGTCTTGAATGTTGGCATACGCCGAATCATAACACATACTACTCGATATTAGTGTAGCGTCATCTGCGTACAAAATACATTGCGTCTGCGGTGGCAAATGGGACGGTAAATCATTTACATAAATTAAAAACAGCAAGGGTCCAAGGATAGAGCCTTGCGGTACGCCGTATTTGATGTGTAATTTGTTAGATACTGCGTTGTTAAAGAGGACACATTGATACCTATTAGACAAAAATGAATACACTAATGACAAGCTCCGTTTACTAAAGTGATACACCTCACTAAGCTTGAGGACTAAAGTATCATGGCATACACAATCAAAAGCCTTAGTGAGATCAACAAAAGCAGCTATCATGTGTTGCTTATTTTCGAAATAGTGTAAAGCCTTCGCGGTGAAAGAAATAATTGCGTCAGAAGTACATCTACCTTTCCTGAAACCGTATTGATACTGATATAGCAGCTTATTAGATTCAAAAAAGTCAATTACTTGTTTATACAGAAGTTTCTCTATGATCTTACTGAATACAGGCAAAATAGAGATTGGCCTGTAACTGCTAATACTCTTTCCATCCATTCCTTTTTTAAGAAGTGGAATAACCAAACCAACTTTTAAGGTTTCAGGAAAAATACCTGTTTTGATAATGATGTTTGCTAATTTAGTTAAAGGTTCGGCGAAAACACTAACGTTACGTTTAATTAAGGCCGCGCTAAAACCAAAAATGTCTCTTGAACTGCTATTCCTCCTGTTTGATGTAAAGTATCTAACTGCTAACTTAGAAATGTAGGTACTCGTACTACATAGTGCTGTTTAAGTTTATTTTCTAGAAAATATGCTTTTTACGCGCCCTATTTAATATAGAAAAATAGAAACGTTTTCGAAGCTTCTAAGTTATTTTTATATACCTCACCTCACCTCACACTTGTTACAATTCTTGTTTTTTTAACGACCCTCCTAGTTCAAGTCATTGTTTTAAATACTATTAAGTATGTATTTTTATCATTTATTTATTTTTATGGATAACTAGATGGAAATGAAAATACTTGAAAGACCTTGATTATTTGAAGTATTTTGGGTATGATGCAATAATAACTTTTGTAGAGAATTTAATAAGCTGCCATACGGTATCATAACATACAGGTTGTTCCGTATAAGGAAGTTACATTTTTTTTATCATCTGAAAAATGCGATATTGTTTTTTTTATTACAGATTTGGATTCAGTAGACAAAAGAACACAATTTTGGTAATTTAATAGTCTTTCTAACTCTACAACTAAGAAAGTAGTGCCGACTTAATTTGAAACAGACTGTATACCGGTTTTTTTTAAAGAAAACAGCATTGGTGTTATGCGGTTGCAATGCCTATAGGCCATAAATCCTCATAATGTTAATAGGTCATGCCATACACGGAATGCGGTTATGTGGTTATTGGTTAATGCAATAAAAGAGAAAAATTACGTTTCAAGCGTGTCTAATAGCTCGGTGTGGTTCTAAAGGAATTGATATTCTTAACTTGTGAGCGGGCAGTAGGGCAATGAAACTCGGTAAAGTGGGTACAAAAAATGTACACCGTCAATGAAGTTCGAATTCCACAGTACTACAAGGTAATTAAGTTACATATAAAACAATTTGCCCGTAGCCTTTATATTTCACGAAACTTGCGTGTGTGTAATTGTCTCGAAATAAATGTTTTCCTAAAATATAGCCCTGTGCAAAATTATGTTATAATGTTAGCTTAATTACTATTAATTGAAATTCCGCTGCTCAAAATTATGCGTTCGGCTAACGTCAATTATTTGTAATTGAAATTAAGTTTGCTCAATATGCGAGCAGCTAACGTAAATTATGTTAAAATAGCGCGATTCCACGCATGCTCATGTTGCAAAATTATTTTCTAATTACAGGTATAACTGGTTAGACATCTTTAACCAACAAAAATATCAGATGGATCAAGTTGTATCTACAATTACTTGCACAGTGCTCAAGGAAAAGTAAAAATTGCTTGTGGATTACTTTTGTCCAACCATTGCCGCTTTTGCATGGACCGCCTTTTTTGTATTGACCACCGATTCAGCAGCACCCGCCTTTTAAACCCTATCGCAATACAACACAATACAAATTCGAATACTCTTGTAATTCTAAAGCAATCACTCGTTACAAAATGAAGGCCAAGAGAGCCGCTTTTTTTCAGAAACATGTGCCGAGTGCATATAATATAGTACATGATGGGTTACTGTTACCTGGAACAACTAGAAAACTAAAAAAATAACCAAATATCAAAGCTTTGTTTTAAAGGCGTCCATTAGTCAGTAGCCTCGTCTATTTTTCGCATCTAACTTTTATCCGCATCGTTTGGTTCCGATTCTTTCAAATGCCTAATAACAATTGTAGATACCGCTCACCAAAACACTGGGAATTCAAGACTATCCCAAACTACGGAAAAAGTACAATGATAGGTAGTTATTTACATACAAGTCCAGAAAATGATACATTACTGGCGAGGAAATATTGAAGTGCGGGGCCCCTTTAGGGGGCCGAGTACTTTGTTTTCCGAGTCAGGGTATGTCACTTTACTGACGAGTACTTATTAAATTTTACCCGAAATCGTATTTTAACATAAAATTTCAATTTTTATATAGAACTTTTAATTAATGTCAATCTATCAGTGATCACAAGAGTCATTATAAACATTTGGAAAAGTCACAAATGCGGCCGGTAAAGTAACGGTGCGGCCGGTAAAGTGACAAGTGGCAGGAAACGTAGCTTGCGTAGTCTGTACTGCCTCTGTCATTGAAACTAACATTTGCTGACAGAAAGTAGGCTAGAAAATTAAGGTTTCAGGGCGATTTTGGGTAAAAATGTTAGTAACAATAATAATAAAAATGACTTGCGAAGATGTGCCAACTTTAGCATTTGGAGGTGGCAATTCAAGATGCGCTAAAGTACTTTGAGTTGGACAAGCGTAGAAACGTATGTGGTTGCTAAAAAAACATGAATTTCTTTTGTTGGGCATCGGTGTAATGAATTTGGGCAATTTCCGTAGAAATTGGTGAATAAATATCAATTTTGATGTCCCTTGGTCAAAATCTATATGATATTATGCTGCGTCGATGAAGCTTTCATCTGGTCGTATGCAACGTATTATCTTGACTCTACTCAGAAATCCTTATTGATATAAAATAAAAACAACCACAAAAGAACGCTTTAATTAAAAATATTGGGCATTGTTTGCAACTTTTTTGTCGTGTGATATAACCGGTTTTGGACCAGTGCGGTAATAGCAGGAACAAACCTCAGCAGCACACCGAGAAGAATAATCCTTAGTCGATGCATATGCCTATACCTTATATACGAGTAATTAAATTCCGCGATAATTAAAGCCAGCGACGCGACGTACCTACGCAATATCCTGTATTAATAAATACTTTGATGTAGTAGTTAATTCTGCTTTTGACATTTTTCTCGTTATGTCTTCGTATCAGGCTCGAAATCCCGAAGAGTTTATTACCGCATACCTTCACGTGCTCATTGCACTCATCTTATAATGCTGGCGTCTGGATGTTCCCGTTTTTACGGAGACGAGGGTGTTTATTGAATTCAAACGCTCCCGCATTCGAATTCTTGGCATACGAGCGGTTTCGATAAGCAGAGATGAAGGATAAATGACTTATTTTGTTGGCAGGTACGGCGAATAATGAGAAAGATTCAATTAAAAGTTTTCAGGCGATATGGTGCGCTAAATCGTTATTTTTATTAATTAATTGTTTTGCAAGGTGTGTACCGACGCGATAATTTTTAACGCCATTCTGTTTTAGTTTAAAAACTGACAGAGAACAAATTAAGTTCCAACTTAAACGTTTGATAGATAGGGTAGTGAGCAGTAGATTATGTTTTATATTTCACTGAATTATTAAACAAGTTAAAAAGTAATCGTAAACGATTTACAAAAAGCGCATTTCCACTAATGCAAGTCTTGCATTCATTTCCCATTTGTAAGATGCAACTTCTGTTAAAATCGAAACAATCTGGCCACAAATATAAAAGATAGCGTTACATAGGTGCAATCCATTTTTGACGTGATACTTCAATTTCAGTTTATAAGAAGAATGTCATTTCAATGCTGGCCCTGCGCATGCGCAAACCTAAATTTTGAAACTAACGTTAGTAGTCCAGGAAATAGAGACTGAAAATGGACCATTTCCTGCAAAACGAGAAGTAGTTCCAATTTTTTTTGCATGTCATGAAAGACTATCTGGTGGTTAAGAATCCAAGTTTTCGACCTCGCACCCCCTGTGCTTCCCCCGTACCACCCTTAAAACCAAAGAAATTTGGTTGGTTTTTTAGTTTTTCAATCATATCTTTTTATAAGTTCATTTTACAAAAAAATATTGTTATCAGAAATTGTAGACTATAAAATCGTGGCATAAATACCCTTACGCTGCACCCTTACCAAATAGGGATGCATAATAATTCAACTTTCAACCCTTGCTAGTGGGGATATTTGAATCACTGTGAGATTGTAGGGCTTTCTAATATACGTTTGAAACAAAAAATTATCTCACTTCAGTTCAGCTTCATCCTTCATGCCCTTCATCCTCCCCCCCCCCTCCCCCCAACCGAGCTGAGAATAGATATTTAAGAGGAATAGAAAATATTATGTAATAAGCGTTGTATTCTCTGACTAACTTCACAATCGCCACAAGAGCGTTTAAATATCTATTTCTTCCGCGCAGGGGGGGGGGGGAAACTGAACTGAAGTGAGCCAATTTTTTCATTTCAAAAGTATATTAGAAAGGGCTATAATCTCACAGTAATTCAAATATCCTCACTAGCAAGGGTTGCAAATTTCATTATTATGCATCCCCTTTGGTAAGGGTGCAGGGTAGGGGGATTTATACCACGATAAATTCAAGATATTTTCTCATAAAACTCTTAATTATAGTGTAAAAGTATGAAATTTGATTAAAACACCTACATAGAAATTTCAGAATTCTTAAAAATATAACCAACTCTCAAGCTCTATATCTTTTTTAATAAACATTTCACAAAAAAGTAGTGTATATCAAAGTTGTGTAGAATTTTATGGTTTACAATTTCTGATAACAATATTTTTGTCTAAAGTGAACTATTAAAAAGATATTCTTGAAAAACTAAGAAACCAACCAAATTTCAGGGGTTTTGGGGGTGGTACGGGGGAAGCACAAGGGGTGGGAGGTCGAAAACTTAGATTCTTAACCACCAGATGACTGTCTATGACATGCAAAAGAAATTGGAACTACTTCTCATTTTGCATGCTAAAACCCTCTATTCCCTGGACTATAGATTTTCCTTTGTTCCAAGTGGCTATGTATCAAATGTCATTTAAATGCTTCCATAAATAAAAAAGTGGGCACTGCACATGCGCAAAACCAAATTTTAAAACTGGCGTTAAATTTTCCTTTATTCCAAGTGCCTATGAATCAAATTTCATTTAAATACTGTTAGGTATAATTAAAAAAGTTTGCAATTTGGTTTATAAATGGTCGAGATGGGAAAAGGGCACCTGTGAATTTTGAATCAATTCCACTCAACTTTTGGCATTGCGTATTAGGATGGCTGAAGCTATGACCATATTGAATTTCATGCAATTCAGTTCATAACTAACGGAGATGTCAAAGCGATCGGACATCTAAACAAAGTTATCGTTCATACGGACAGATACATAGACAGACAGACAACGGAACTGACGGACATACTAAGAGACAGACAGACAGACAGCAATACAAAATTGTAAACGATCTCTAAGATCGTTAATAAACGGCAAAAGTGTAAAATTATGGAACATGTATAAAACGGTTTTTTGGTTTTTTTACAGTAACTTTTTTAGTAATAAACGCAGAAATTCCTTCCTTGGTGCAAGCCTCGACACCATGACGAAAATAGCGAAAAAAGTAGAACAATAGCTCTTAAGATAAAGAACTAGTAGCATCTCAACGAACGAGCGGACGGACGAACGGACGGACAAAGTGGCCACAATAGCGCGTTTTTTATTTTTGTAGAAATGCGCTAAAATGCGTTCGCCTTAACAGGAATTACTAATTTAATAAAAACTAAAGACAACTATGCCTTTTCAACCAAAATAGTTATCGATTGGTTTTGAAACCAAGTTAGTTATTTTATCGCACGTGATGCTACCATATACAAGGTGTAGCACCTAAAACCCCTCTGATCATAATTCCTTTACCATAAAAGATACCGAAAAAAATTGTACACAATACCGTCATATTATATTTTTGATCTGCACCAGGAGCGTGCTGTATTCCAGTGGCGTATCAAATTTGCGTTTTTTTAAATGGAACACCCCATATTTTATTACTGATTTGGAATGTACTTGAAAAATACTTATTTTTTTATGTTACATGTTTAACGATTTCGCTGTTATAACCTTTTTTCGTCAAAATTTTAGTTTTTCGAAATTGCTTTGCGAGAAACTAAATCGGGTAGGCGGCTAAGTTTTGAACTGAGACGTAGGTTAAGACCTCTTCCATAGTCACATAATTTTTTTTAGGTATTTTATCCAAAAAAATTAAATGTTTGATTGACCTTCACCAAATGTCATAGTTTTTAAAAATTGATGACACCCCCCTAAACACATTATAATTCTGGGTAGGCAAAACTACAACTTTTCCACTAATATAAAGAAAACCACCATTCCATAAGAAAATTTCAGAAAAAAACCAAGTCGAAACGCCAACTTGTAAAAAAATCTTTATTTTCCGAACCTAGTTCCGAACCCTATTAATACTGCCATGATGAAACAAAAGATGTTCAATTCTCACAATTAATCAACGTTGCAAAAATGTCCCAAATTCAAGCAGGGATGGTTGATATAGTGTTTATTCTTAGAGACGGTTACCGGAATGTTTTGCTGGCGTCATTAGTGTGTACGCTGGGAGATATCCCGAGCCTGACAGAACCAGAGACTTGAACAAGTCTCTGGACAGAACGCATTCAGATACACGCGTGTTTCAAAAGGTGTTGTATAGATTTACAGCTACTGGGAGTGTAAAACGAGCAATGCGAGTTAAACGGACGCCGGTTTTGGCGGAAGACAATGAATTGAAAGTTCTCGGGGCAGCTGTTGACAATCGCCATATTAGTGTGCGTGAAATTAGTACTCCCAGTAGTTATAAATTTATAATTTATCCAACACCTTTTGAAACGCCTGTGGATCTGGATGTGTTCTGTCAGGATCTCCCAGCGTAGATACTCATGTAACCCCAAACAAGCAATTATTTTTTCGGTAAAGTACCTAAAAAAAATAAAGTTACTTAAAAAAATAAGTACTCACTCAAGTACTCTCCAAATCAGTAAAAAAAATGGGGTGTACCATTTTAAAAAAATGCAAGTTTGATACGCCACTGGAATACAACACGCCACTGGTGTTCAAAAATAGTTTAAAAACATGTTACACCCTATATTCAGGTTCAAGAAACATTTGTATCGTTCCGAGGAGGTTGGAATTTTGTAAATACCTCCATTCGTATACGTCTTGCACAAAAACTATGCCAAAATTCCGCGAGATAATCACAGAAAAATCCACCAAGATGTTCTCCCTTCTCCAAAACCCCATTTTGTAAGATTTCTTTTCTTTCTTTAAATGAAAGGCATCTATCAATTCCTCAAACACTACACCTGTGATGATTAGTGGTTAATTAAAGTCTTTATTTTGAAAAATTTGAGGTACGCTGTCATTATCCAAGATGTCCAATTTAATAATAATATATTATGCAATGAGCATTCAATGACTGGTATTAAGACACGAGAATGAGAATTGCGAAACGAGTGTCTTAATAACCATTAAATGAGAATTTCATACACTATTTTTTCTACGACTATGATCTATCAAGAGGTGTTGAGGTCTTGCCACACTCAATTCTTACACTTGTACCGCGTTCATTGTTTAGCGCATTTCCACAGAAATAAAAAAATGCGCTATTGTGGCCACTTTGTCCGTCCGTCTGTCCGTCCGAGCATTCGGTGGGACGCCACTAGTTCTTTATCTTAAGAGCTATTGTTTTACTTTTTTCGCTATTTGGTTCGTTATGGTGTCGAGGCTTGCACCAAGGAAAGAATTTTTTCTGCGTTTATTGCTAAAAAAGTTATGGTAAAAAAACAAAAAACCATTTTTTACATGTTCCATAATTTTACACTTTTGACGTTTATTAACGATCCTAGAGATCGTTTATAATTTTGTATTGCTGTCTGTCGTCCGTCTGTTGGTATGTCCGTCTGTTGCTTTGTCTGTCTGTCCATCTATCTGTCCGTGTGAACGATAACTTTGTTTAGAAATATCCGATCGCTTTGATATCTCCGTTAGTTATGACCTCAACTGCATGAAATTCAATATGGGCATAGCTTTAGCCATATAATACGCAATGCCCAAAGTTGAATCGAATCGATTCAAA